TGGTGTGTAATTACTGAAAGATATTTCATATATTTTTGCTACTTAGTTGTTTCTTTTCCATTTTGTTACGAAGCTAAGTTAGTCCGGAACCAAAAATTATGCTCATAATAAACGTTCCGGGTTGCAATTACTGAACTTCCTATTTCAAGTTACCATCACGTGTAGATGTAGAAGGGGCGGGGGTGTTAGCTCCCCCTTAGTCACTTAAAGAATTCAGTTAAAACAATCGAATTAAATTTTGATCCACTCGCATACTCGCTTCCCTTAGTGTAGCTACTAGCGAGTATGCAAGCAAATCTAGCATCTAAAACCATATTCGAATACATGTTTTGTATAATCATATATGTGACCCCCCCCCTCCCCCCAAAAAAAATCAGGTTTGGAGACGATTAAAGTTTTTATTTTCCTTATTTATTAAGAACGTTTCTGAGTTAGTACTTCTTTATTGGGTGTATCCCTATTCCTTTTTTTAGAAGCATGTTTTAATTTAAGACTGACATGTTTAAGTATTTTTTTTAAATTCATTTTAATCGATTTCTATTGCATACATATATCTTTAGCAGATTAATCCATTTTTATCCAAGTTTTGTGTAAAAAAAAGAGATTAATATAATAGAGTTATTTGTGTACAATCTAGTTTACATTTAGCAGAAATAGAAAAACGGAGCTACATGACAATATACAAGTAACTTTTTCTTTCCATAGTTGTTTGTATTATTGGATAAGTATTTTAGAAAAGATATAAGGCATACATGTCACATCTTTTCTTGTTCTTTGTCCAAGTTGATCAACAAACTCTCTCTCTCTCTCTTCCACGAAGAGGAAGTCACCTCTATAAACCTTCTTAATTTTTTGAATATGTGTTGTTTCTCTGCTGTTTTTATTATTTACATCGGCTTAAACCAATAAATGCAGCAGATTGGTTTAGATCTTTTGAATGTATCCCCCCCCCCCCTATCCCTCCGTTTTTGTCCCAATAAAAAACAAAAAATTGTATATTTTTATCTACTTGGAAAGAGCTTGAATAAATCTTTTTTGATGTTTTAATCTTTAAATGCATACAAATCTTTTTTGATGTTTTAATCTTTAAATGCATACATGTCAATGAGCGCATTCTTATTAACTGTTCTCTCCATTTCTATTTGTACAGGTATATACATATATTCACACGGTATGATGTTCATAAATGGATTTAGTTCATTAAAGAAATCATTAATTTACAGTAAATAGTTGATTTATTTACACAAAAAACATTCTTGTTTTCCTGACACCAACGTTTCTTAAAATCACCTAAGATATGACATGTCCGCAGTCATCTTAAAGTTAGGACTAAGATTAGGAGGTCTCCTAAGATAGGATAGCTTCGATGGCCTCACTTAAGACTAAGATATGTCGTAAGTTCGTCTTAAGAGATGTCTTAGTCCTAAGATAGCTTCATGAGCATGCCTGCAGGTTTTCATTTTAAATCAAGATTTTACATTCCCATCGAGTTCTAGAGCGGAAATACACGTTTTATCAGAATTAAAGAGAAACCTTTTCTTTTTTTCCAAATAATTATAGTTTTTGAAAGTTCGTAAAAAAAAAAATCTATTATATCTATAGGAAAAGTCATTCAAAGATGTCGTTTGAAAAATCAGGTAGGCGATAGAACAAACGTTCGCGGTTGCCTTCCCCACTAAGACTCCTTTGTTTGTTGAACACATTCAACAAATTGTTAATTAAAATATAGAAAATTTTATACCAAGCAAATCAAGTTTTTTGTCTACTGTTCACTGCAGGGGAAGGGGTGCGGGGGGGTTGAGTGAGCAGACTTCACAATGCTATTCATATAAATAGTAAAATACAGATCTGTGTCTGTAATACATTTCTTCTTCAGTGTTATTTTCACTAATGAATACAAATGTACTTGTACTTACGTGCATAAATAAAAATGAGTTGAATTTTATTCAAACGTTTTTAGCCGTGTCATTGAAACATTTCCAAGTTGATCATGTGCATGTTTTGTTGACATATAACATTAAAATTTAAAAAAAAAAACAACAAAAAACTTCACCTGACGAAGAAAAATAATCAACAAACGGGAAATACTTTTCCTTCGTATTAAATGCTTAAATCATAAATTCCCTTTTTAGATCCGGCATGCACTCGTTTCCCATCATGTTCTTGTATTTTAATTTATTTTATATTTGGTTTTAAAAAAAACGCAACTACATGTATGGGTGTTTAAAAAATTGTAAGGAAATTAAAATATTATACCTAATAATTAAAGTATTTTATGGTAAATATAATTAATCTATCACCATTATCATCTGATCAGGGTGGTCATGTGTGCTTACGGCGATTCGCAAGACTGAGCCAAGTCTATCGTAAAACAGCACGATGGGAGGGTGGGGTATATCAATGTAAACAAGTTTCACACCTTCTTTTGTTTACAAAGAATCAAAATAATCAACTGGAATTTCATGGATTAATATAATATTTAAATCAGAGACATCAATAAATATATAATGTCTCTGGTAAAAAGACCGCATATTCTGACTTGAAATGTAAACACATACAACTGTATGTATGTCTTACGATTAAATCCTGCTGTATCATATACGAAAGTATAAAAGAAAGAAGAAAATTAAAATTAACAGCCAATATTAAATATAGATAGAGAGTTTAATAGGGTGCTTGGTTGCCCGGAACGTTTTTTACGGCCGGAACCAATCTTACGCGGGCCGGAACGTTTATTATGGCCCGGAACCAATATTATAGGTATTTAGCGTTCCGGCCGGAACGCCAAGTTACCCGGAACGTATATTATGCGACACCGGACCTTTAAACGAGGCGGACCAAATATTATGCGACACCGGGCAGATCATTTTGTTCCCTACAGAACAAGATGATTCTTGCCATTATACTTAATAAGGACGTACCCAATTCGTTAGTGCAACTACTCCTAAATCCCAGAACATTCAATGAAGCCTTTACAGAATCCCTTTTTTACTCACATGCATGGGGGTGGGGATGGGGGGTATTTATGTATCATTTTGTGAGGTTAGTGCAAGTCTTACGTAGATCTTCCTTCCAACATCAACAAAAGGCTTTTGATTATGCCTAACCCTTTTATTCATATTCTCGGATTATCTTCAGTTGAATATAAACTCCTATTTATTTAAGGCCACAAGGTCAAATAATTTTGAGTTAAATAAAAATGAAGTTCAAAATGTTAAGATGCTTTGCTTGTCACATATACTAGTACATGTATATCAGAATGTGTACAATGGCTGCCTCTGTCTATTAGATCATCCATAGTTGTCCTTATGTTAGTATGTCTAAAAATTCTCCAAATTAAAGCTGACTCTTTTAATTGTTGGGAACATATGCATTTCATATTCAATTTTCCTTCAAGTTAACTGTAACCTCCATCCATTGGTTTTGAACTTTAAATTTTTGTTGTTAGTCCATAATGTGTGACAGAAAAGAAGAAAATGTATGATTGGACTAGGAATGGAACTAAGACCACTGCATCACTATCCAGGTGCTCTCTGAGAACAGGGCATTTCACTTTTGACTACTTAATGATACAGAATAAGGAGAAAGGATTTGAAACTGAAGAGAACAGTTTACTTTAAGTGTAATGATCAGAACACATTAACAAACATCTAAATGCAATATAACATTTCAGATATTCCTTCAAACATCAAGTGTTAAGGAGACTAGAGGAATGTTTTCATTTCAAACAAGAAATAATTTTGTCATAATTTGAATTTCATATACATGTAATTTGGTTTAAATAGTAAAATTGGCTCAAAAAATTGATTTTAACTAGGGCTAAATTTGTACATGTAAATGGTAACCAGAACATTTGTACAGACCTTGAAAATAAGAAAACAAGAAGAACAAATAAGAATAAACTGTGCATACATGTATAAGATATTAGTTCTTTAATGGTAGTGTAACAATAACTGGTCATGTTTAACATTATAATGCAGTATTCAATTTATCAAAATATGCCTGCTGCCATTCAATTCATGTTTGAATACATAATAAAATATGCTGAAATCAATTCAATATTTATTACTCAAGAAAATATTGAAAATATACAAATAGGCTCTCATCCAAATTAAAGGCACGTGCATACATTCAAATTATTTGCTAACAACAAAAAATAATATGTGTATAATAAGTAATGTACACATGAAAAGCTTATAAATTAAACAAATGACAGCAAACTTAACAAAGAAAATAATATACTTATAATGCTTGCAAATGCTTGCAGCAATAATAGCTTAAAAACAAAATATTTAAGTAAAAGAGTAACAAGGGGCCAATGGACCTTAACAGTCACCAGAGGAGAATACAACCCTGAGCATAGAAAATTTTCTAAGAATAAATTAATAGGTGAGCCAAACTGTATGCCAAAATTAATTAAGACTGCTTAAGTGGTTTCAAATAAGAAGTTGAAAATTTCCATACGATAGTGCACCATTGTTAGACTGACTTGGGTGACCTAATATTCATAATAATCTACACAGTAACTACTATAAATCTGGAAATGTTTACGTCGATTTTATTTTGCGAATCTCGGTCGTAATGCTGTTGATTAATTTTTACGTTTCAAAATTTTGCGAATGACCACTACTTTGTTTAAATTTTCTTATTGTTGAATTAATTTTAAGAAATATATTTTTGTGAATGCAATGAACTCGCAAATTTGCTAAAAATTTATCTACAGCAAAAATTTCTAGATTTACGTTATTCAATCTGCTATTGAAAGTTTTGCATTTCAATTTGTAATTAACACATGCTTGACTAAAAATTCTAACATGGTATTCAATACTCTGTTATATTTCTCCTCTTACATGAGTGTGAAAATTGTGCTTTTTTCTTAAATTAATGACAACTTTGATAAATTCTTGTTCTACAAGTCAAATATACAATGCACCAAGAAAATATTTGCTGTCATATAGAAAAGTTGATCTTTAATCCATTTCAACCCTGCATTTTCTTCATTCATTGCATTGGCTGTTTGGGCAAGGACAAATCATAAGGAAGGGTACATCGCTGAAATACAAGAAAAGTCAATATTAAATAATAAATCATGAATTAATAAAAAAAAATTGTAATTCAAACTAGAAATATGTCCATAGGACATGAATGCCCCGCCGAGGATATATAAGTAAAGAAAAGTGAACATTTGTATGTGTACGAAATTTGATCAGTTTGGTTCAGGTAGGGCTTATAGTTACTAGGGAATAAAAATGTAGGTCAGATCCAGCATCCGAAGCAAGTCTGGTAGTGTCCATCCTTAGAAGCATCATCCATGCAAGTTTGGTCCAAGTAGGGCATATAGTTCCTTAGGAATGGACCTGCTCCAAAAATTTTAATCTGGTCACTCATCTGGAAAACATAGGTCAGATCTAGCATCCGAAGCAAGTCTGGTAGTGTTCATCCCTAGATGCATCATCCATGCAAGTTAGTATCAACATGTGAAGTTTGATAACACCATCTTGAATGGTATGTTTAAAACTGAGCTAAACACTTATTTAAGAAAAGTGAGGTCAAGGTCAGAGTAAAGGTCAAGGTCAAAAAATGTTGATGCAGTTGCATAGCTCTCAATATCTATCAACATATGAAGTTTGATGAAAATATCTTGGATAGTTTCTTTGAAACTTAGCTTTGAACAGAGCAAAACACAAAGTGTGATGGAAGGACGGAAGGACAGAAGGACGGAAGACAGACATGACAAATACTATATGCCCCGGCCATATTCATGGTGGGGCATAAAAAGGTCTGAGTACATGTGGAAGCTATAAACATACAAACTTCAAAAAGGCATAGCAATTCAATATACATGAATAACATTTAAAGAATTACTATTAAAAAATTCAGACGTTAAGACGTCATCCACAAGCAGAAATGGTCTACCTAGATATCAATTGGATAGTGATCATCTTAAGGGGCCTGCTGTTATTTCGTAAGTTTCATTTGAAATAGACTTGGTTTAGAGGAGTGTATTTGGAGCTTGACCTTGACTTGACTAAGACCTTTTTGTGTGAGTTGGAACCATGCATTTTAAGAAACTCACCAAAGTTTCAAGTTTGTGATGGTTCACTGGACTGGAATCAGCATGGGGAGGAAAAACAAGGCCAGGCATGGATCCTTTCTATCTATTGTAAAAATGTCACTTTACCAGTCACCAAGAAAAGTTTTACAAAGAGGTTATGAGATAAGTGTGGTTATGCCTGTCCGTCACTTGGTTACCGGTGGTATGCATGGTATGCTTCTTGGTGAAAATAGAACCAGCATCAGTTGCCAACATGCATTAGACCTGCAACAAAAGGGGAAAAAATTATCAACTATGTTAATAAATACATGTATATGTAATCAGTGATTACAGACCTTACCTCAACTTAAGGCAAAATCCTACATTACACTATTTATCTTAAGGTGTACATCCCAAAAAGAAGACCAAGTAATCTTGACTCATATTGACTCATATAATCTTGACTAATATCAATTAGTAAAAAGTTTAAAAGTAGAGTACATTAAACTGTGCACTCACTGAATAGGTGTCATGGAAACCCAACATTGGATCTTTGTGAGTCTGGAGGGGCACTTCTTGTAAAAAGAAGTAGACTGATTCATCATCTAAAAAAAAAAACCAACAAGATAGACTAAATTACATTTAAATGAAATAAAAACTGTTAAAATATAATTATCAACAAAAAAATTAAAGATCTATAAAAAGATATCATTTGTAAGAAATTTTTTTTTAAAGACACATACAGTTAATCACTAACAGACCCAAAATAAAAAAAGGAAGTTATAAGACTTTGAAAGGGGGAACTGTAATTTATTTATTGCACAAGATAAACATCCTATTGCATATTACAAAATGTACAATAATATTTACTTAGGAAATGAATGGTTGCACATATGAAATCATTGACTGTGTGTTTTTAATTCAAAAGTTTGAAAGAAGAAAGTTCACATTGTCCATTTTTTGTGAATTTCTTAATTACTCAGTTTTAGTTGAAAATATGTTATATTTCACTTGGACCCTTGGTGACTTCATATCAAATAAAAATGAAGTAATCTTTTCTCTTGTCTATGTAATGAATGTATTTTGCTCAAATCTTGAATATTTGGTTAAAAATGACAAAAAATTTAAGCTGTTTTTTAATATTATGCATAGCCCCCAACATCTGATCTAAAATGCTGACTTATATAATGAAAGAACTGTTTCAGGGGATTCTAATCCATGAAAGAATTTTTGGATCGCAGGATGGGCTCATATTTTTATCAGAAGTTGAAGATGCTCAATTTCACCCATTTTCTTCAAAAATCAAGAACATTGCAGTTTCACAACGCCATAGTTTCCAAACTTGGGCTCTCAGAGGAAAATTTTTTATAGGAATTGAAAGCACTAAGTCTGTATTTTATGTTGATTATCGAAATAGGACATAAGGACTTGGTCGTTTAATTAGTATATTGACAAGGCCTTTTTATGGAGTACGTGAATCTACCTCTTTGTATGTAATACATAATTTGTGAATTGCCTTACATATTATAAATTTTGTTTTATTTTCTGATTCTATTCAATCAGGCAAATGGGGGAAATATGAACATTATGTATAATTGTATGTGTTAATAATTGTGTTTTAATTCTTATACATGTATTAAAGAATGGTTCATTTTTTATTATTAATCTCATTAAAATTATTTTGATCATTTATCTTCATTTTTTTACCTGTCTGATAAACACAGCAAAGGTTACAGAGGCAAATTACAGGTGTCAAAACTCTCTGTTGATGACCAGACTGCATCCAGCATTGTATATCCACCATTACTGATCTTTAACAGGGGAGACTACTACTGAAATCAGAGAAATTATAGTCAAAATGAGAGTTACCTTATACTCTTTAGGATTCACACATAGAAATTATTGACTATATGCTACTTTATAGCTTTATCAAATTTATTAACTAGACCCTCTGCAGTAAATTAATGTAAGAGAAAATAAAGATTAATACATGTACTTACACAAAAATTTGAATCAGAAAAAACACACCTGATGCAGCTTAAAAAAAAAAAAAAGAAAAATGACAGTAAACATACCTTCCTTGAAATCAATCTGATTAAAATCAGATCTTTGATTTGCTCCTAAATTCTGATAGTCGCTGTACAGCTTGATATACACCTGGGCTTCACATGCTGACAAACAGACTACACACCATCCAGGAAGCTGCTTCATGAACACCTTCTAACAAAGACAGTTTCCTTTAGTTCAATGGAAAAAGCCTGCTTAATATATGATATTCCTCTTATATGAGTCCAAAATTAATACTGTAGGCCTAAAAATGTGATCAATTAAAAAATAAAAAGAAATTGCCTTTCTCTATACATGTATATAGAACTGTAATTAACTTAATTCATTGTGATTGGTTATTTCCTCAAGTAAGATATTTAAGCTAGCCATACAAATCAGCTCTTGTAATTTTCATCACATACCTGTATGGCAATTCCTGGACAATCCATTGATATAAAATTCTGATGTCCAGAAAAATGAAGGCCCCTCTCGAGAAAGAACTGCTCTAATTCACAAAATTATCATCCATAATGTGTGGGGCACTGAAAAAAGGATATAGAGTGTGTACCATTAAAATTATTATAGTCTTAAATTGTTTAATAACATAAACATAGGAAATAATGTAAGCTATCCATATAATTTAGCATTTCACAAAATAACATTGTTTTTTTTGTGTGGGTGACTGCTATATGTCTTTGGTCTCATGCTACAGTATCATAAACATGAGACCATCTATGTTTGTGACTGTTATATGTCAATGGTCTCATGCTACAGTATTGTATACATGAGACCATTTATGTTTAAGACTGTTATATGTTAATGGTCTCATGCTACAATGTTGTAAACATGAGACCATCTATGTTTAAGACTGTTATATGTCAATGGTCTCATGCTACAGTATTGCATACATGAGACCATCTATGTTTAAGACTGTTATATGTCAATGGTCTCATGCTACAGTGTTGTAAACATGAGACCATCTGTGTTTGTAACTGTTATATGTCCCTGGTCTCATGCTACAGTATGTAAACATGAGACCATCTATGTTTAAGACTGTTATATGTCAATGGTCTCATGCTACAGTGTTGTATACATGAGACCATCTATGTTTAAGACTGTTATATGTCAATGGTCTCATGCTACAGTGTTGTATACATGAGACCATGCCTGTTTAAGACTGTTATATGTCAATGGTCTCATGCTACAATGTTGTAATCATGAGACTATGCCTGTTTAAGACTGTTATATGTCAATGGTCTCATGCTACAGTGCTGTAGACATGAGACCATCTATGTTTGTGACTGTAATATGTCAATGGTCTCATACTACAGTGTTGTAAACATGAGACCATGCCTGTTTAAGACTGTTATATGTCAATGGTCTCATGCTACTTACAGTATTGTAAACATGAGACCATCTATGTTTAAGACTGTTATATGTCAATGGTCTCATGCTACAGTATTGTAAACATGAGACCATGCCTGTTTAAGACTGTAATATGTCAATGGTCTCATGCTACCTACAGTATTGTAAACATGAGACTATCTATGTTTAAGACTGTTATATGTCAATGGTCTCATGCTACAGTGTTGTAAACATGAGACCAGGCCTGTTTAAGACTGTTTTATGTCGATGGTCTCATGCTACAATGTTGTAATCATGAGACCATCTATGTTTAATACTGTTATATGTCAATGGTCTCAGCTACAGTATTGTATACATGAGACCATCTATGTTTAAGACTGTTATATGTCAATGGTCTCATGCTACAGTGTTGTATACGTGAGACCATGCCTGTTTAAGACTGTTATATGTTTATGGTCTCATGTTACAATGTTGTAAACATGAGACCATGCCTGTTTAAGACTGTAATATGTCAATGGTCTCATGCTACAGTATTGTAAACATGAGACCATCTATGTTTAAGACTGTAAAATGTCAATGGTCTCATGCTACAGTATTGTAAACATGAGACCATCTATGTTTAAGACTGTTATATATCAATGGTCTCATGCTACAATCTTGTAAACATGAGACCATGCCTGTTTAAGACTGTTTTATGTTGATGGTCTCATGCTACAATGTTGTAATCATGAGACCATCTATGTTTAAGACTGTTATATGTCAATGATCTCATGCTACAGTGCTGTAAACATGAGACCATCTATGTTTGCGACTGTTATATGTCAATGGTCTCATGCTACAGTGTTGTATACATGAGACCATGCCTGTTTAAGACTGTTATATGTCAATGGTCTCATGCTACAATGTTGTAAACATGAGACCATGCCTGTTTAAGACTGAAATATGTTAATGGTCTCATGCTACAGTATTGTAAACATGAGACCATCTATGTTTAAGACTGTAAAATGTCAATGGTCTCATGCTACAGTGTTGTAAACATGAGATCATGCCTGTTAAAGACTGTTATATGTCAATGGTCTCATACCACAGTGTTGCAAACATATGTTTAAGACTGTTATATGTCAATGGTCTCATTGCACAGTGTTGTAAAAATGAGACCATCTATGTTTAAGACTGTTATATGTCAATGGTCTCATGCTACAGTTTTGTATACATGAGACCATCTATGTTTAAGACTGTTATATGTCAATGGTCTCATACTACAATGTTGTAAACATGAGACCATGCCTGTTTAAGACTGTTATATGTCAATGGTCTCATGCTACAGTGTTGTAAACATGAGACCATCTATGTTTAAGACTGTTATATGTCAATGGTCTCATGCTACAGTGTTGTATACATGAGACCATCTATGTTTAAGACTGTTATATGTCAATGGTCTCATGCTACAGTGTTGTAAACATGAGACCATCTATGTTTAAGACTGTTATATGTCAATGGTCTCATGCTACAGTGTTGTAAACAAGAGACCATCTATGTTTAAGACTGATATATGTCAATGGTCTCATGCTACAGTATTGTAAACATGAGACCATCTATGTTTGTGACTGTAATATGTCAATGGTCTCATGCTACAGTATTGTAAACATGAGACCATCTGTGTTTAAGACTGTTATATGTCAATGGTCTCATGCTACAGTGTTGTATACATGAGACCATGCCTGTTTAAGACTGTTATATGTCAATGGTCTCATGCTACAATGTTGTAAACATGAGACCATCTATGTTTAAGACTGTAATATGTCAATGGTCTCATGCTACAGTGTTGTAAACATGAGACCATCTATGTTTAAGACTGTAATATGTCAATGGTCTCATGCTACAGTGTTGTAAACATGAGACCATCTATGTTTAAGACTGTTATATGTCAATGGTCTCATGCTACAGTGTTGTAAACATGAGACCATGCCTGTTTAAGACTGTTATATGTCAATGGTCTCATGCTACAGTGTTGTAACATGAGACCATCTATGTTTAAGACTGTTATATGTCAATGGTCTCATGCTACAGTATTGTATACATGAGACCATCTATGTTTAAGACTGTTTTATGTTGATGGTCCCATGCTACAATGTTGTAATCATGAGACCATCTATGTTTAATACTGTTATATGTCAATGGTCTCATGCTACAGTGTTGTATACATGAGACCATGCCTGTTTAAGACTGTTATACGTCAATGGTCTCATGCTACAGTGTTGTAAACATGAGACCATCAGACTGTTATATGTCAATGGTCTCATGCTGTTTAAACATGAGACTGTTTATATATGTCAATGGTCTCATGCTACAGTATTGTAAACATGAGACCATCTATGTTTAAGACTGTTATATGTCAATGGTCTCATGCTACAGTATTGTAAACATGAGACCATCTATGTTTAAGACTGTTATATGTCAATGGTCTCATGCTACAGTGTTGTAAACATGAGACCATCTATGTTTGTAAGACTGTTATATGTCAATGGTCTCATGCTAGAGTTTTGTAAACATCAGACCATGCCTGTTTAAGACTGTTATATGTCAATGGTCTCATGCTACAGTGTTGTAAACATGAGACCATCTATGTTTGTGACTGTAATATGTCAATGGTCTCATACTACAGTGTTGTAAACATGAGACCATGCCTGTTTAAGACTGTTATATGTCAATGGTCTCATGCTACAGTGTTGTAAACATGAGACCATGTGTGTTTGTGACTGTTATATGTCAATGGTCTCATGCTACAGTGTTGTAAACAAGAGACCATCTATGTTTAAGACTGATATATGTCAATGATCTCATGCTACAGTGTTGTAAACATGTGTTTAAGACTGGTCTCATGCTACAGTGTTGTAAACATGAGACCATGTAAGACTGTTATACATGAGACCATGCTATGTTGTATTGTAACATGAGACCATCTATGTTTCAGACTGTTATATGTCAATGGTCTCATGCTACAGTGTTGTAAACATGAGACCATTTATGTTTTAGACTGTTATATGTCAATGGTCTCATGCTACAGTGTTGTAAACATGAGACCATCTATGTTTAAGACTGTTATATGTCAATTGTCTTAGGCTACAGTACTGTAAACATGAGACCATCTATGTTTAAGACTGTTATATGTCAATGGTCTCATGCAACAGCCCATGCATGTTTAAGACTGTAATATGTCAATAGTCTCATGCTACAGTGTTGTAAACATGAGACCATCTATTTTTAAGACTGTTATATGTCAATGGTCTCATGCAACAGTGTTGTAAACATGAGACCATCTATGTTTAAGACTGCAATATGTCAATGGTCTCATGCTACAGTGTTGTAAACATGAGACCATCTGTGTTTAAGACTGTTATATGTCAATGGTCTCATGCTACAGTGTTGTAAACATGAGACCATCTATGTTAAAGACTATTATAAGTCAATGGTCTCATGCTACAGTGTTGTAAACATGAGACCATCTATGTTTAAGACTGTTATATGTCAATGGTCTCATGCTACAGTGTTGTAACATGAGACGATCTATGTTTTAGACAGTTATATGTCAATGGTCTCATGCTACAGTGTTGTATACATGAGACCATGCCTGTTTAAGACTGTTATATGTCAATGGTCTCATGCTACAGTGTTGTAAACATGAGACCATGCATGTTTAAGACTGTAATATGTCAATGGTCTCATGCTACAGTATTGTAAACATGAGACCATCTATGTTTAAGACTGTTATATGTCAATGGTCTCATGCTACAGTGTTGTAAACATGAGACCATCTATGTTTGTGACTGTAATATGTCAATGATCTCATTCTACAGTGTTGTTAACATGAGACCATCTTGTGTGTAGTTGTTATATGTGTATATTGTGACTGTAGTTGTTATATGTCAATGGTCTTGTATGTTGTTGTTATATCATGCAAGTATATGGTGTGTTATAGTCCCTGGTCTCTTGCATGTAATTGTTATATAGAGACCGTGACAAGTATATAGTGTGTTATAGTCCCTGGTCTCTTGTATGTAATTGTTATATAGAGACCGTGACAAGTATATAGTGTGTTATAGTCCCTGGTCTCTTGTGTGTAGTTGTTATATAGAGACCGTGACAAGTATATAGTGTGTTATGGTCCCTGGTCTCTTGTATGTAATTGTTATATACAGACCACGACAAGTATATAGTGTATTATAGTCCCTGGTCTCTTGTGTGTAATTGTTATATAGAGACCCTGACAAGTATATAGTGTGTTATGGTCCCTGGTCTCTTGTATGTAATTGTTATATAGAGACCACGACAAGTATATAGTGTGTTATGGTCCCTGGTCTCTTGTATGCAGCTGTTATATAGAGACCGTGACAAGTATATAGTGTATTATAGTCCCTGGTCTCTTGTATGTAATTGTTATATAGAGACCACGACAAGTATATAGTGTGTTATAGTCCCTGGTCTCTTGTATGTAATTGTTATATAGAGACCGTGACAAGTATATAGTGTGTTATAGTCCCTGGTCTCTTGTATGTAATTGTTATATAGAGACCGTGACAAGTATATAGTGTGTTATAGTCCCTGGTCTCTTGTATGTAATTGTTATATAGAGACCATGACAAGTATATAGTGTATTATAGTCCCTGGTCTCTTGTATATGTAGTGTGTTATAGTTGTTATATAGAGACCGTGACAAGTATATAGTGTGTTATAGTCCCAGGTCTCTTGTATGTAATTGTTATATAGAGACCGTGACAAGTATATAGTGTGTTATAGTCCCTGGTCTCTTGTATGTAATTGTTATATAGAGACCGTGACAAGTATATAGTGTGTTATAGTCCCTGGTCTCTTGTGTGTAGTTGTTATATAGAGACCATGACAAGTATATAGTGTGTTATAGTCCCTGGTCTCTTGTATGTAATTGTTATATAGAGACCATGACAAGTATATAGTGTATTATAGTCCCTGGTCTCTTGTATGTAATTGTTATATAGAGACCATGACAAGTATATAGTGTGTTATAGTCCCTGGTCTCTTGTATGTAGTTGTTATATAGAGACCATGACAAGTATATAGTGTATTATAGTCCCTGGTCTCTTGTATGTAATTGTTATATAGAGACCATGACCAATATATAGTGTATTATAGTCCCTGGTCTCTTGTATGTCATTGTTATATAGAGACCATGACATGTATATAGTCATTTCAGTTGGGTAAAAACATTTAAAAAATGATCATCATGGCTTTCTATGTGAAAATCTGCATTTTAGACCATGACAAGGTTTATGTTATGTTACACTGTCACTTACTTCCAGCTTAATAGGCTGTAATCTGAAGATACCATAGGGCTTAATTATCAATGATCCCATGCTGCACGTAGGCAATGCAAAAATGAAAGTAGCCTCGTTCTGATTAGTCACGTGGTAATAAGAGACCACGGTCTCATCGCTGTTTCTGTATAGGAAAAAAAAATGCAAGTAATTTTTTCAAAAATAAACATAACTCTTGTCTGTACATGTTTTAAATAAAATTTACGATTAAGTACATGGTTTAACTTCATCAAATTCATAAAAAAGCAGGCATTATTACGAGTCATTCACCTTTTGAAGATATTTTCCCGTGATATGAGGGGGGGGGGGGGATGTAATAAAACATGCATAACACTCTCATAAAAATAATGTAAGAAAAACGTCTGAAACAGATTGGATTTCTTTATGATCAATTATTATCAAATAAATACTGTGTATTGGCTTTATTAGACCTTATAATTTGATTTAAAGGTATTTATAATTTTATGCACAATGAAAGAAAAAGTGAGCACGTTCACATACCCCACGCTCCCCCAAAAGTCGAAGTGCTGAAATTCCCCGAAAAAAAATAAAGGAATCGTAATTTCCTTGTAAAATGCACATCTATACACATTGTGTCCTAAATATCTGTAAAGTTTGACGAAATTGTGTGCAGCGGTTTATGAGGAGTGGACAAACTGCTCACCTCTATATTCAAGATATGGCCAAAATCTAAATGTAAAAGTGCGGAAATTCCCGAAAAATAAAGAATTCGGAATTTCCTGGTGATGTGCAAATCTACACACACATTGTCTCCTATAAATATCTGCAAAGTTCGACAAAACTCTGTACAGTGGTTTATGAGAAGTTGCGCTGACCAAAAAAAAAAAAAAGACTGACTGACGGGTCAAAAACATTATACCTCACGCGTGGGGTATAATAAACGAGTTTGATTCTTTGGTACAATAATAATGAAAATAGAATTTAATGTGAATTAAATTTCTAGACATAATTAATTAATGTTTATTAGAAAAAGCATATAGGAAAAGAGAGTAAACTCCTCGTGAGAATTCCACATTCTTCCTAAAACTAGCTTTTTAAAAATTCTCTTGTCTGTTGTCCAAGTTCGACACATCCGTTTGAGAAGGTATTCGAGAAAGTTCCCAATGTTCCCATTCCTGTGATTTATATTTCACGTTTATTATATCCCCCGCCTGAAAAGTGGGAGGTAATCGTTATGTCCGTTCGTCTGTCTGTTACGCTTTGGGGTACCCATCTCTTATCCGCAAATCCTACGGACTTTGCCATTATAACCAAATGGGAGGCAGGGGGTATCATTTAGTGAGTTCATTATTGCTCATAATATATGTACGTCTAGTTTCTCTTTCAATTTGGGCGTTTGGGTTAATTTCCTGTCCAAAGTAAAATTATTATTCAATTTATGAAGTTTCGACATCCCGCCTGAAAAAAATCCTTGATCTGTCCTAAGGCATAATAAATAGTACAGCACAAAGTGCGTAGGATTTTATACCTATCATTGCCCCAACGGGTGGTTACAGACAGAAAGAGAGAGAGAGAGAGTTCAATATACAAAAGAATAAATAATAATTATTCGTATTCAACCAGTGTCAAGTATCCCTACCCTAGCTTTTAAAATTATCTCCCAAATTCACCTACAGAAATTATTTATATATATAAAAAAAATACCTAGACTATCAGGCAGGGATACTGAAATCTCGAAATACTTCCTGTAACAACATAATTATAAAACAGTTACATTCCTCAAAATGCACATACTTTGTGGTCGGAGTGACACATTTCAAAAAAAATCTCAAAACTGAATTCGGCAGAAATGTCTGTCTTCCAAGAATATTTAAATAGCGGTCATGTCAATTATTTTTGTATGCCCCCCCCCCCCCCCGTCTAAAAAATCAAAGCCTATAAATGTCAATCTGAACAGGGGATGGCCTTTCTCCGTGTGTGTATGTGTTACAGAATGTATAGATGTACACATAAAGATTTGTATTCTGGTTAACTGCTTTTAAGATTTGAAGTAAATTATAGCCGTACATCAAATTACTTGGTTTAGGTTTGAGATTAGTACTAAAATAATCAGTTATAATTGACAAATGAATTTTGCGACGCAAACCAACTGCAGACTATATACATGACTTTGTATAGAATGTATATTAGAACTACATGTAGATAAACAATTCACAATTATAGCTTAGGAACATCAGTTATAATATTCCCCCTCCCCCCTTTCAGCCGCGCAAATACCAAATAACTTCTCTTTCCACTTTTGATATTTTCCCTGACCAAAATCGGATCAGCACGGACTAAGTGTATCGTCGTGCTAGTGTGTTCGGAGTAATGACAGTGTGTTTACTATTGAGCTTTTATGGAGTTTATTTCTTTTTTGTGATGCATATTTCAATAAATGGAATTCAGGGTGTATTTCACTTGACTTGTGCACATCTTCGAACCGATGCAGTAACCTTATTACCAGGTATGGGTACGTTTACAGCGTTCGAGGCGTTTTCTCGATATGCATCAATTGCATAGGACCTGCAAATCAAAGACGTTGGTTGTTTTGTTCCATTCAAATAATATCATTTCAAAATGTGTTTGCAAATTTTACTGCTTTTTATTTGAAGTTTATTCTGCATAAATTGGCGCACTGTAAAAATACATACTCATGCATCTAAATTTCTCTTCCAAACTTGCATTTTTTTCTTTTGATTCAAATCAGTAATCATTCAAAAATATGATTATTATGTTGTTTATTTTGTTTTTGAAATGTCTTGATCATCTCATGTGTTCTCATATGCTTTACCATCGGAGATGTGCACAAGTCGATACCCAATCCAAAAAATCATTCAAGTGTAACAAGCGCGTTGGGGTATACATCGTTACAATGAGACAAGGTATCTGAAAGAAATATGGCGGAATACGGCTTAGTTGGTATGAAACAAGTCGTACATAGATGAAAATGTTGCGTTTTTAAGAATTCATGTCAGCTTTAAAGGGCTGTTACAATGAAGCGCATTGAAGTGGTAAAATTTTCCGTTTGGATGAGTCATGTTTTGAACGTCAATTACAACATAATGACACGACCATATTTTTAGAAACGAGAAAGAAATATTCGTCGTAATGTTTTAGGACACTCCATTCTTCGCGACAAGCAATATGAGTTACACTGAAATGGAGCTTTAAAAAATTAGAAGAGAGAGTTAGAGACTCTCCGCTTCTGTAAAACAAAATTTGCAACGAATATGTACATATTTTTGAACTTATCATGTCTATTGAAGTTACCACAACACATGTTTCGTTCGAACACGTGTTTACTCGGTGTTTATTTAGACCGTCAATTTCATTGCTTATTGTATTTATGGAAAACCTGTTCTACAGGTATTCGAATAAACAAATTGACCGTTTTACCCATTTCTAAAGAAATGGGCGTGTCATAAGATGTCAATAAACGTTCTAAAGATAGCTCAAAACGTTCCATTCGAACGGAAAATTTTACCACTTCAATGCGCTTCATTGTAAGTCGGTCGTCAGTCGTTGGACAATAAGGGTGTTGAAATTTTCGGCCGACGGTTAAAATCAAACTGTAGCTCAGAGCTCGATGATCGGGCGACGATTGGCCGACTTGTGAATATCTAACCTATTAAGGATACATAACACAAACAAAATTTTGATGCATGGATTGATATAAATTTTTTGAACGGAAATAAATAATTAATCCGTAAGATATAAAGTAATCTTAAGTATTCTTTGCTGCTTAGATATGCACCATTTGCCGTTTTTATGCTATTTCATACAAATTTTGCACACATTTTCAACATTGAGTCACAATTTTATAAGATTCTGCCACTTTGCCTTGTAAACATTACTCACGTCCCCTATCTGAATATAGATCTATGAAAAAAAAATGCTGATTTCTAAAGAAAAAGGATTTTTTTGTGTTATTCATCCAAGTCATCGGTGTCCCTAGGAAATAATGTGACTGCTCTGTATCGCCCGATACTGTGTCCGCCGATCTTGTTCTTTCAGCCGACAAGACCAGAAAAATTTAGTCGCCCGACCATCGGCTTAAATGTGACCAGGCATTAGGAGTTGATCATAACGTCGCAAGATTGAATCCCATTGTGGAACGTATGGGCCATCCTTCAGATGAGACTGTAAAAACCGATGTCCTGTGTGGTTTTAGGGAAAGAGGAAACCTAAAAATTACAAAATGGCTGTATAGAAAGTTCCTCTGCCAGGAAAGCGGAATACTGAAGCATACTGATGCCTGAGTTCAAGGACAATTTCGTCAAAAATTGAGTGTAGCTAAAGTGAGAAAGGAATCCTTGATTTCCAATGGTGCAGTTGTCAACATTCAAGCTCACTACAGCAGACATCTTTATCAGAAAGACTTCTACAAAAAGAGACAACAATTTTAAAAATTGCAGGCATTCTTTTACATAGAAATAAAGAGAGATTTATTTACTAAAATTATGGATGACAGTAAAATACAGAAGTGGTTCAGAAATTAATTGCAGGGAGAGAGAGAGAAGGTTGGGGGGGTTACCAGACGAATAGATAAGTTCTTCAAGTGCTACTACATGTAAGATGGCTAAAACAGGAAGGCAAAGAAAACTTTAATTTGTACATTAGGTCAGTAGTTTAAAATGCTCAAAACTGATTAGGAATTTCAAACTAAATAAAATACCGAGTTAAGGGCGTTCTCAAATCAAGTGACATGGAAGATCGGTTCATCTTCAGTATTTGGCCCTTCTTCAAGCAGTTGCGACAATACAGTCATGCTGCAGGGGAAATTAGACTATAGAATTGATGGTACTGAAAAGAGAAAATGCAAGAAGAACTTTGTTTTGGTACAAAGGAGAGCACGGCATATACTGTAGATCACTTAATTTTCGCGAGATAGTCATTGACTCTTTATTAGCGAGACAAAATTTTCACGAATTGTGGTCATTGCTCTATATAATCTTAAGGAATTCTATAATACGCGAGAATGAAATTTTCGCGAGCATTCCGTCTCGCGTAAAATATTTAGTTCTCGCGAATAAAAAGTTATTTACAGTATTGTTCAAAAATGAAGACAATCTGTCCTTGTTTGTCAGAAAATCTCAGGACAAGAAGGTTAACACATGGAGTTCAAAG